CCCCAAAACCCCAAAACCCCAAAACCCCAAATTCAAAGATAAGAATATAATCCATGTTTTATAAAATTTAAATAATTAAGTTATCAGTAATTAATTGATTTTGAGTTTTAACCAATTTGAGATCTATTTAATTTGCTATTTCTGTAGCCATATCCAACATAGAAACATATTCCGATTGCATTAAAAATGAAATAGTATACCCAAGTCATGTAATCCATTTAACAGCAGAGCATGAAATTACCAATCATTCCAATGCAAGGAATAGTTGGAACAAAGGGACATCTGAAAGTTTCTTTTGGAATACTAATCTAAGGTATGAGCATTAATTAAATCATCAAAATTAGAGTTAAAGATCCAAGGCTAGTCGTGATATAGATAGACCAGCTCAATGACACTGAGAAAGAAAAAGCTAATGCCAAAACAAAGAAGGACCAAATATAAACTTCATATTTGGAGACTTTCGTTGTTTCCTCTCTAAATCGTTGAGCGATACAGGCAGCGTTGGTAACAGAATAGGACAAAAGAATACTGAGAGAGATAGTTTTAGACATTTCCTCTAGGCTAAAAAAGAAACAGACTAGACAGACAAAGATGCAAATATATACGGATCCTTCAGTTGGAACTTAAGTCTTTGGGTTGATCTTTGAAAAAATCTTGAAGAACAAGCCGTCATCTGCGTAGGCTTTAAGGATTCTGGGTTGACTCATTAGAGGAGCAAATGTAGCCGCAGTCAATCCAAAGAAAGCTGAGAAATATATTATAAAAACCATCCACTTATTTCCAACAATTTCAAAAGCTAGAGCTATTGCTGTATCGGCTTAAAGTTTGTCTAATCTTGCTACACCAGCCAATGAAAATGACATAATGCAATAAATAAATGTACATATTCCGACAGTAAGTAAAATTGAGCGAGGTAAATCTTTCTTAGGGTTCTTTGCTTCTTAAGAAAGAGTTGTTATAAAATCAAAACCAAGATAGGCTAAAAATGTCAGTGCTCCTCCTTAGATAGTTCCTAAGATTCCACCACTTTCCTCAATAATAAAAGGTTCAAAATTGTTAATATCAAAATAAGTTAAACCAACAATGACAATAAGGACAATTGTTACAAGTTTTCCAACTGTTATGGAATAGTTAAAGATGTTAGAAGATTATGCTCCCATATTCATGATGATTGTGCAGATAATGATAAACAATACACTCATTATTGAAGCGTCAAATTTGTATATTTAAATGGAATACAATACTTTTGGAAGTGTTATCCCAATTGCTCCCAATAAACCAACAAAATAACTAGTCCAAGCACGAGACAAAGCCCCTGCAGTTATTCCATATCTTAGATTCAAATTCCAGCCAACTATCCAGCCTGGTAATTCTCCAAAAGTGCTATAAACATATGAGTAACTCGACCCAGAACTTGGCATCTTTGCTGATAACTCGGAATAAATAAGAGCAGTCGTTGATGATACCAATCCACAAAAAAGAAATGAAAGGAACAAACTTGGCCCTGCATATTTAGAGCCAAGACCGATAAGTGCAAAAATACCAGCTCCAATAGTATTACCTATACCAAACATAGTTAAATGGTTAAGGTTCAAGCTTCTACCGTACTAATGTCTTGACAAATCTAGCAGTTCTGAGTTGAATGCATCTATTGATTTTATTTGAAAGATTCTTTCAGTGATTGATAGCTAGTTTTTTTAGCTCTGATCCTGCTACTAAATTAGGGGCTAGTTCATACTCTGAATTTTACTGTTTTAATCCATATTTGAATATATATTAATATTCATCAACTTCAATCATTCATTTTGAATTTTGTGAGCATGGGGTTTTGGGGTTTTGGGGTTTTGGG